CTTTCTTTCTTTCTTTCTTTCTTTCTTTCTTTCTTTCTTTCTTTCTTTCTTTCTTTCTTTCTTTTCCACATTTACAAAGAGGAAACGACAACTCAGGCAGGTACAAAATCCAAATTTCATCGATGAACGGCATGCTAAGAAACATACGAAACAGCGAACCTCAAGCTAATGCACACAGTTTAAAAAGAACATCCTCTAACCTATAGAAATAAGCAGAAGGGCACTGAATATAAAGAGCTGCATATTTTCTGCTTGAAACTCTCCAGAAATGCAACATTGGAAGCAAATTCATATAGACGGGTTCTCCTTTTCCTAAACAACCAGAGGATATAACAAGAAAACCAACAGAGGTGAATTAACTGATGTCACATCTCTGCCGCTAATTTACTGTGTGACCTCAGATAAGGCACTCTTTTCCTGTGTTGGATTTTACACACACACACACACACACACACACAAATACACACAGACACATATAAAGAGAAAGAATGAGGAGCTCTAGGTTGCAGGTAGAGAAGAAAAGCTATTTAGGGTTGTTGTTTTTACCAGCTATTCCTTCAGTAATTATTCCTCACAAGGAACTTCCCCCATGATGCATAGATGAAAAGAAAAGAAAGTTGTTGGGGTTTTTTTGGGGGGGGGGTAAAATAAATTTTATGTATCCCTCCCTTCTAACTGTTTCTTTGTACCCAACTGAGCATCCAGTTCCTATTTATTTATTTATTTATTTATTGTCACAGAATATTGGGGGAGACCTGAGTGTCAATCTGTGGTAGTAAAAAGTCAGGAGGAGTCTGGTAGCAGCTTTTCCAGCTAACACGTTTTGGTAAAAGGCTGCAACTCACAAAAGCTTATGCCTTTTAATAGTCTGTTAGTCGGAAAAGATGCCACCAGACTCCTTCAAAAAATTATGTGAGACTTTCAGGTGATTCGCCTCTCAGCGGTAAAGGATTCGTAACAACCTCATTAAAAAAAAAAAAAAAAGTTAATCCACAGTTTATAAACTATAAGGTTTGCACGGTACAGTAGATGAAATTAGGAGAGGCAGAAGACTGGCAATGCTACTAGTCTTGGCCACAGTAATAAGTGAGTATGGAGCTGTTTTCAGCTGGAAAGGGAAGGAGAAAAGAAGACGTTCAAGACCAAAGTTGAAGGCCCAAGGAAGATCAGATGTCAGGGTGCTGTTCTGCAGTGCTCTCCTGATAGATAGGAAAAATGGAGGAACACCCAGCCCTGGCTTCCAGCCCACGAGTGAGGAACAAAACCATGGGAAAATTTTACAGGATTCCCTTCAGGCAGAAACAAGAATGCCAAGTTGCTTTGGTTAGCCAGACCTGCAGTGAAGATTTTTTTTCAAGTATAGCATACCACCCAAAAGTGAGGAGTGTCAGTTCAAACCTCAGGAATGGCATACCGGGTTGATGGAGGAAAGGAGCATGTGTTTCTGCCTTGGGCTGAACAAGACTAAGCAATGCTGCCTTCTAGTAGAAAGCTGGGTTCCCACAAGATGCTTTCTTCTCTTACTGAAGTAATCCACTGAATTGTAAACTAACCAAACAGGCTGAGTTTGCACAGCTTGCTAAACCACCAACCCCTGCCAACCACTGGTTAAATTAACCAAGCGTGGCAAGCTGTTAGGTTTTAACTGACTTGGTTAAGTGCAAAGGGTGAGTGCAGAGTTTCCACAAGCATCAGTCAAGGCTTCTGCTCCTGTAAAACTTCCCACATCCCCCAACTCACAAACCTAGCACCTTGCCTGTTCCTTATTTGGAAAGAGGCAGAGTGAATGGACAGGAGGACAGGAGCAAGAAAGGGGTCCGCTGAGGCCTCTTTCCTAGCCCAATCTAGAAGAGCCACATGTCCTGGACTTCACTCCACAAACATTGCCAAGTTCACCTTATCAGGCACAAACAGCTCAGTTTTTCATAGGAAAAGGTCACTGTTTTTCACGTCATGGTCTAAGAGCTATAAATGGATCCATCCAAATAAACAGAGCCCTTTTCTGAGTAGCCAGGCTGAAACATTAACTTAGGAGGTATGGAACACATGGCCTCAGACCTAATGTACAAAACTGAAAGATAATGTACATCATGCACAGAAATGAAATTGAAAGCGGTCTTCTTCCTCGCCGTTTCCCTGCGCTGGATTAAAATGTTCAAAATGGGCAGCTCACTCAGCCAGCCAAGTGGGTTGGGAAACAGTCCAAAACATCTGGAGGGCACCAAGTTGAGGAAGGCTGTCTTCATCCGTATCCCCCCTAGAGCTTTTAAAAGGCAGGTTCCTACCCTTGGCGAGCAGAACAGCAGCCAGAAGATTTTATCACGCCTCCGCAGGATCGCCATTAAGCTACCCTGCCACGCTCAGTTTCAAGAGGAAGGCTGGGGTATCGGAGTACGAAGTGTAAAAACTGAAGAGGCCACCTGTGGTCGGATATAATGCAGGGCCTGGCTAGATCTGTCAGTTGACCATTGCAACCAAAGGCTCAGAGGCACGAAAGGTTCGCAAGACAGGGAAATGAAACTGTGAGGAAAAATTGGGAGTGAAGAAAAAAAGAAGGAAGGGAGTGGTACCCGAGGGGAGTAATGCAGGGAAATGTGAAATGAGGCGAGGGGGGTGGGAAGGAGAGACAGACCTATTTTACCCTTTGCACAAGTCCCAGGGACTAGGCTCCCTCTCCCAGCACTAAAAGTTAAACTCCTCCTTCCATTCTAAAATTAGGAATTTCAAATTGCCAGCTTTCCTGAAAGTTACAACTCTAAGCTTGGGCTCCTCATCTCCACGTGTCTGAAACGCGAAGTTCCCCAGAACTGGGATGAATCGCTTCTGCACACGTTCAGAGGCGCCGCCTCAAAAGTTGGATTTCCCCGGAGCGGACCCCCTCTAGACATGCTCAGAGGCACAGCCGCTTCTCCTCTCGCAAGCGAGAACCCGAGCATTACGAAACAGCCTCCGGGGTTACGCCCTGACTCAACCCTGGCAGCTCGCGCTTCTTGCGCAGACAAGAGGCCAGGTCCCGGGGGAGGTAGGCTCCGGCTTGCCCCCACCGCCGGCCCCTTCTTCGGCCCCGGACACCCCGCGTTTCCCCGCCGGCTTACCTGAAATAGTAGACATCGCTCTTGCCGGCGCTCAGCCCCGATTTGCGGATGACCTCTTCCTTCTTCCAGCCGGGGGGCAACGCCGGACAGTCCACCCTCTTGCCCCGCTT